AGTGTTCTTCACTAGACTGGCAAATATGTTGCATTTCCAATAGCACCAGTGAGTTTAGTAAGCATAGAAACATCTGTGCTACCTAAATGGGATGGGGAGAGTATTTTTTAAGTTGCATTTAACAATAATCTGCATTTCCAATGACTCCTCCCAATATTCTTGTGTAGTAGAATTCTGGTATAAAATAAAGTTCGAAAAAATAAGATAAAGTTCGTTATTATAAGAAAAAAAACTACAGTGTATCTTGCTGCAAATACGGTGTTTAAATATATATTTAAATTGCTTGAAGAAATTAGGGGTAAAAGTGTTGCTTTCTATTTGTTTGTATTTCCTTTGTGCCTTGTAAGCATTTTTTGATATCCAGAGTGGATATTTAGAAGTGGCTTTGATTTATTAATTCACTGTTACTTGTCATGTATGCATACACAGTACAGAGTTATAACAGGAGGAATGATTAATCCATGTCGATGATGAAGTAAGAATATTCAGCATGAAATATCTATTTGTAGGTTTTAATTATTTATTCAGGATATTTATGAACTGGAGTAGCCCATATTTTTCTGGGTCACTTTTTTTTTTTTTTTTCCGGTACGCGGGCCTCTCACTGTTGTGGCCTCTCCCGTTGAGGAGCACAGGCTCCGGACGCGCAGGCTCAGCGGCCATGGCTCACGGGCCTAGCCTCTCCGCGGCATGTGGGATCTTCCCGGACCGGGGCACGAACCCGTGTCCCCTGCATCGGCAGGCGGACTCTCAACCACTGCGCCACCAGGGAAGCCCTCTGGGTCACTTTTTATTTTTTTTAGAGATTACTCTGTTGTGATTATATCCAACAGGATTACAGTTAGAATGAATGTATTGTATTTGCACAGAAATTGTCACCTGTGCTAAGCTTTTACACTTCTTATTTAGCTGCCACATTTGTACTATCTGCCAGCTTTTTTTTATAATTGCTTACACTTTTACCGTGTATAAATTACCTTAATTAAATTGGGTAACCATTGCTGAAGTTGTGTTCAGTCTGTGGAACTGCAAAATTCCCAAAGGCACTGATTATTTGCCAGTTGACTAATTGTAGAAAGGAATTTTAGTTAGCATATGCTTGATAAGCTACGTGTCAAGATTCCTCAAAGCTACCCCCTGGTTTGGTGATTCATAGGACTCAGCATATAGTCATATTCAGGACTATGGTTTATTACAACAGAAGAGTACAAAGCAAAATCAGGAAAGGGAAAAGGCACATATTGGTCAAAGTCCAGAGGAAACCAGGCATAACCTTCCAAGAGTCCTATCGCAGTGGAGTCACACAGGATGTACTAATTTCTGCAGCAGCAAGTTATGGCAGCAGCAAGTTATGTGAAGTGTTGTCTACCAGAGGAGTTCATTAGAGACTAAGTACCCAAGGTTTTTACTGGGGACTGGTGACATAGGCACTTTCTGCCTGGCTCTTACCAAATTCCAGACTCCCAGAACGAAAACAGGTATTTTCTTTCTAGGTGCCTAGATGAGGTGCAGCAATCCCTTCTTCTCAGGGAAAGTTTAAAATCAGTGCAGGGAACGGTTTACCATTCAAGTTCCCAGACAACAGCCAAGGGTCACCCTCTTAAGAAGGCTCTTCTAAGATGAAATTTTTGTTGACTCTTGAAGGATAGTAAAATATGCCTGGAAGTTGGTCAAGAAAAGAGGGGGAGAACGTAATATAAGACATTCAAGGAAAGGCATGGAATCGTGAAAGTATGTGGTACATTTAGGCAATAGTTTATTGTGGTTTAAATACAAATGCATAATGAGCTCTGTAAAAGTAATGGAAATCACCAGGACCCAGCCTAAAAAGAAGGAACCGATAAACAGTAAGTTCAAGAAAGTATGCTATGGAAGCTCTAGGGATAGGCTAGTCTTGAGAGTAGCAGCTTTGGTTTTCACCTACTCAGGGGTAAGATTCAAGGCCTTGAGCGCTCTATAAGGTGGAGAGTTCTTAGAACTCAGATTTAAGCTGAATCTGTTTAACATAGGTACATACTCCATAGAAGAATAGGATAGAAAAAAATTTTCCCATCAATCCAGGGAGATGATAAGGAGATGACAAGGAAGCTTATCTGTGTCACCCTGGGCTGTGGGTTTCAAAAATAGTTTTCTTGGATTCATAATCATGGGCTTTCTCTCACATGGTTTATGGTTTGAATTTACATTATTTACATAGTCTAAAAATCTCAAGCTGAAATACTAACCTCAAAAGTAATTCTGGGTTGGTGATCCCCTGGAGCATCTGACAGAAGCAGATGCAGAATCACTGTGGAGTTGTATGATGTCAACCCAGGCTACCGAGGATTCTCTCATATTACAGCTACATTGAAAGTGAAATGACAAGAAAAAGTTATAGAGTACCTAAAGAAGCAATCAACATTAGGAAAAGTTAGCAACAAAATAAGTTATCAGTCAACCTGACAAAGTTAAAACAAACAACATGATCAGATTGTCAAGAACCACAGATATTAGAACTATTTGATAAGAATATAAAGTAGGTATGTTTAATATGATATGAGTCATGAGCATAATTTTATAACAGAAAATTTTAAACTTAGATGAAGTAGACAAAATTCTAGAAAAATACAACACTGAGTCTTCATTGCAGTTATTTCACAGTAGCCAAAAATGAGAAATAATCTAAATGTCTATGAATAGGAGAACTAATAAATTATGGTATATTCATGCAGTGGAATACTATATGGCAGTTAGAATTATTGAATAAGTCTCACTTTGAGTGGAAAATGAAAAACTCCATTCAGTGAAAAAGTAGGTTGTAAAATTGTACAAACAGTATGGTACCATTTACATACAGTTTAAAAACATGATACATAATTACAGTTTACTAATACAAATGTAGTGAAAATGTAAAAACAACATAAATAGTAAATATAAAGTTTAGGGTTTTATTACTTTTCCAAAAGAAGGGGAGAAAGAAGAGAACAGTATTGGTTAGGGTCACATATTAGGCTTCAGTTGCATCAGAAGTAGATTTAACGCGTTTTAAAATTTGATGAAGATGGGATATGGGAACACTGCTGTTCTTTATATTCTATATACTTTTCTGAATATGTAAAATATTTTATAACAAAATATATAAAAATTTAAAGTACTTTGCATTAAAAGGCAATTGAGAGAAGATACAGAAACAGGTTAAGCCTGTACATTCCTTATTTTAAACTGAACTGTTTATATCTTTCATAGATTATTTTGTTATTCTCTTCTTACACCTTTTTTTTTAACATCTTTATTGGAGTATAATTGCTTTACAATGGTGTGTTAGTTTCTGCTTTATAACACAGTGAATCAGTTATACATATACATATGTCCCCATATCTCTTCCCTCTTGCATCTCCCTCCCTCCCATCCTCCCTATCCCACCCCTCTAGGTGGTTACAAAACACCGAGCTGATCTGCCTGTGCTATATGGCTGCTTCCCACTAGCTATCTGTTTTACGTTTGGTAGTGTATATATGTCCATGGCACTCTCTCACTTTGTCCCAGCTTACCCTTCCCCCTCCCCATACCCTCAAGTCCATTCTCTAGTAGGTCTGCATCTTTATTCCCATCTTGCTCCTAGGTTCTTCATGACCATTTTTTTTATATTCCATATATATGTGTTAGCATACAGTATTTGTTTTTCTTTCTTACTTCACTCTGTATGACAGTCTCTAGGTCCATCCACCTCACTACAAATAACTCAGTTTTGTTCCTTTTTATGGCTGAGTAATATTCCATTGTATATATGTGCCACATCTTCTTTATCCATTCCTCTGTTGATGGACACTTAGGTTGCTTCCATGTCCTGGCTATTTTGAATTATGGTTTTCTCAGGGTATATGCCCAGTAGTGGGATTGCTGGGTCGTATGGTAGTTCTATTTTTAGTTTTTTAAGGAGCATCCAAACTGTTCTCTATAGTGGCTGTATCAATTTACATTCCCACCAACAGTGCAAGAGGGTTCCCTTTTCTCCACACCCTCTCCAGCATTTATTTTTTGTAGATTTTTTGATGGCCATTCCAACCGGTGTGAGATAATACCTCATTGTAGTTTTGATTTGCATTTCTCTAATGATTAATGATGTTGAGCATTCTTTCATGTGTCTGTTGGCAATCTGTTTACACCTTTTATAATCAAAGTTTGTGGGGAAAGTAAGAGCAAAATGATTTAACATGATATGGTGATGCTGGTATCAATCCTTGTTTGAGTTTTCCAGAATTCTAGTAGCACAGTGAAATGTTGCCGGCCCCTAAGATCTTTTCTCCCTTGATCTCTACGTGAGTCAGACTCCCTTCCCTTCTTCTTTTCCTCTCTTCCTCTCTCTTTGGGTCTCTAGGTCTTTCTCTTCTGGTCCCTATCTCTTGGGGTATGCTTTGGGGGTTATACTGTCTCAGGACCTGAGGGGCTTCATCTCTTTGGGTCTCTGTCTTTCTGAGCCCTCCTGCCCCCACGTTCTGTTTCTCATACTTGCACTTTCTCAGGGTCTGTCTCTTGCTTACTGTCTCACTTGGTGCCCCTCCCCCATGTCTTTCTTCCTCTGTGTACATATGTGTATGTTTATATGTGCCTTTGTGTGTCTTTCTGATTCTCTGTCTCTTTACCTCCCTCTTCCAGGGTCCCCTCTACCTTACCTCCCCCATCTTGTGTCTTTCTCTCAGAGTATAGAGCTCTTTTTCTCCTAGGGTTGTCTTTTTTCTCTCTCTCCTTCTGTGTGTGTGTGTGTGTGTGTGTGTGTGTGTGTGTGTGTGTGTGTGTGT